AGATTATCCTAGCAGTCTTAAAAACCACTGGAAAATGTTCGGAGGCCAAGATGGCATTAAAGATATTAACCAAAGACTGTTTACAATTTCTGGGTAGGAACTTTATTTGTTTCATTGTTATTCCAGAGAGACCAGGGGCTCTATTTCGCATTCTTCCAATAACTTGACTCATCTCAAGTAGTGTGATAGGTCTAGTAAGCGGGTGTGCCTCTTCAAGAGTTGATGTATCGATGGAAGGTAGTGGTTGTAGATCAGCTAAGTTCTCATCTCTTCATTCATTGACCAACTAATAGTGATTATTATTAAATCGACGACTGTTATTGTGAGAGAGAATTTTCTCCCATACATGACCTATCAAATTAGCCTGGTCTTGTGGATCATCAAATTCAATCTCAACCTCTTCATCATCATCATCAGTGAAGGTATGAATTAGGTAGCTAGGAGCCTTGTGCTTTGCACCTAAAAGTTTCCGAATCTTACTCCAAAATTTTGCAGGGAGATTCGAACCGGGTAAGAACCAGAAATAATGGATTTAAGAACATAAGAACATAAGAACATAAGAACGAAGGAACACTGCAGAAGGCCTACTGGCCCATGCGAGGCAGGTCCAAGTCCCTACCGGCTTAAGCCAATGCACCCAACCTAGTCAGGTCAGGTCACATTGACTTAAGGGAGGAACACGGCAACCGACCTGTTAGCACAAGCTATCAGGTCCAACTCACACCCACCCACATCTACTCATGTATTTATCCAACCTATTTTTAAAGCTACACAACGTTCTGGCCTCTATAACGGTACTTGGGAGTTTGTTCCACTCATCCACAACTCTATTACCAAACCAGTACTTTCCTATATCCCTCCTGAATCTGAATTTTTCCAACTTAAAACCATTGCTGCGAGTCCTGTCTAGGCTAGATATTTTCAGCACACTATTTACATCCCCTTTATTTATTCCTGTCTTCCACTTATAAACCTCAATCATATCCCCCCTAATTCTACGTCTTTCTAGAGAGTGCAGTTTCAGGGCCCTTAGTCTATCCTCATAGGGAAGGTTTCTGATACATGGGATCATCTTTGTCATCCTCCTTTGTACATTTTCCAGAGAATTTATATCCATTCTGTAATACGGTGACCAAAACTGTGCAGCATAATCTAAATGAGGCCTAACCAAGGATGTATAGAGTTGAAGAACAACCTGAGGACTCCTATTATTTATGCTTCTTGATATGAAGCCAAGGATTCTATTAGCTTTATTGCGAACACTTATGCACTGTTGTCTTGGTTTCAGATTACTGCTAACCAGAACTCCTAAATCTTTTTCGCAATCCGTAATATTAAGATCTACATTATTTAGTTTATATGTGGCATGGTTATTGTCCTGTCCAACATTTAGAACTTTGCATTTGTCTATATTAAACTGCATCTGCCACTTCTCCGACCACTGCATCAGTCTATTCAAATCTTCCTGGAGTGCTCGAATGTCCTCGTCAGAATGAATTCGACGGCCTATTTTGGTGTCATCGGCAAACTTGCCGATGTCGCTCTTTATGCCCTCATCTATGTCGTTTATGTAGATTGTGAACAGCAGGGGGCCCAACACTGACCCCTGTGGAACACCGCTCGTGACGCTTCCCCACTCTGATTTCTCCCCATTTATGCAAACTCTCTGCTGCCTATTTGTCAACCATGCCTCTATCCAGGAAAAAATTTCTCCTCCTATTCCATGTGCTTTAATTTTCCTCAATAGTCTCTGATGTGGGACCCTGTCAAAAGCCTTACTGAAGTCCATATACACAATATCATATTCATTACCATGATCTACCTCCTCAAATACCTTAGTGAAAAAAGTTAATAAATTCGTAAGGCAGGAACGCCCCTTTGTAAAACCATGCTGAGATTCGTTGATTAATTTATGCTTTTCAAGGTGGCTACGAACTGCCTCGGCAATTATTGATTCCATAAATTTTCCCACTATGGAGGTTAGGCTTATTGGTCTATAGTTCGAAGCTAAGGACCTGTCACCTGTTTTGAAAATAGGTATCACATTTGCCATTTTCCACTTATCTGGCACCATGCCAGTTTGTAGTGATATGTTGAAAAGATTAGCCAAAGGTGTGCTAAGCTCCTCTTTACATTCCTTTAGAACCCTTGCATACAGTTCATCAGGGCCTGGGGATTTGTTAGGTTTTAATTTATCTATTTGCCTAAGGACCATGTCACTTGTGACCCTAATAGTGCACAGTTTATTATCGTCCTGTTCTACATAATTTATCATTACTGGAATATCGCTGGTATCCTCCTGTGTAAAAACTGAGAGGAAGTATGTGTTAAAATTCTACACATTTCCTTATCACTGTCAGTGAGCTGACCCGAGGAACTTTTGAGTGGGCCTATCTTGTCCCTGATCTTACTTCTGTATACCTGAAAGAATCCTTTTAGGTTAGTCTTCGATTCTCTTGCAACTTTAACCTCATAATCTCTATTTGCTTTTCTAATTCCCTTTTTTATTTCTCTCTTTAACTGAATATATCGATTTCTTAATTGCCCCTCTCCTCTTTTGATTTGCCTATATATGCCTCTCTTTTGACCAATCAGATATTTTAATCTATTGTTCATCCATTTAGGATCATTTTTGTTTGATCTGATTTCCCTATTTGGAACATAATTTGACTGAGCAGCTAGAACTATGCCCTGGAAAGCATCATATCGGCAACCATCACCACCTACCTGACCCCTAGTCAGGTCATTCCAGTTCAGCCCACCTAAGTAATTTTTCAGTCCTATGAAATCAGCCAAGCGAAAGTCAGGGACGGAGACTTGATTGCCATTATTAGGGGAATTCCATGATATGTTAAAACTGAGTGATTTGTGATCACTCTCCCCAAGCTCATCATTAACCTCAAGATTATTAATTAGTGTTTCCCTACTGGCAAGAACCAAGTCAAGGAGGTTATTTCCCCTAGTTGGCTCTGTCACAAACTGTTTTAAAAAACAATCCTGGATCGTATCAAGAAAGTCACCCGACTCTAAATTTCCTGTCAAATTGCTCCAGTCAATCTGTCTATAGTTGAAATCTCCCATTAGCACAACATTTTCGTATGTAGATGCCTTACGAATTTCGTCCCATAGAAGTTTACTGCACTCCCTATCAAGATTTGGGGCCCTGTAAATCACACCCAAAATTAGTTTTTCTCGGCCCTCGAGAAGCTGTAACCAAACAGATTCAGTGGCTGACGCTTCTAATTTAATATCTTGTCTAACACAACAATTTAAATTGTCTCTGACATACATCGCTACTCCACCACCTTTCCTGTTGACCCTGTCAGTGTGGAATAATTTATAGCCTTGTATGTGACATTCAGAGGGCATCTCTCTATCTTTCAGATTGAGCCAGGTCTCTGTTATAGCAATAATATCTATGTTTCCTGCACTTGCAATTAATCTTAGCTCATCTATCTTATTTCTAACACTCCTGCTATTAGTATAGTAAACCTTAAGGGAGCTAGTCCCTTGCTGCCCTCTGCTGTCCCCCTTTGTTTGCTGACCTGTTCTATTGTCTTTATTTATAACTTCATGCTGAATGCCTTTTATACATTTACTGTTTCCAACCCTAGTGTTGCAACCTGCTTGTTTCCCACACACACCCATACCTCTATCTTCCATCAGTTTAAAATCATAGGCATTTCACCAATGGCCTTCTCAATCGAGTCTGCAAGTGCTACCACCCCTGCCCCAGAGAGATGAAACCCCATCCCTTGCATACATATCATGTTTGCCATAAAAGTTGTTCCAGTTGTCAATGAATGGGATTGCAAGTTCCTTGCAGTATCTGTCTAGCCAGCAATTTACACCAATTGCCCTAGACAACCATTCATTTCCTACTCCCCTTCTAGGCAAGATGCTACATATGATTGGGATCCCTCCCTTAGACTTAATGAAATCTATAGCTGACCTGTACTTATCTAGCAGCTCTTCTCTCCTACCCTTCCCAATATCATTTCCACCAGCACTGAGACAGATAATGGGCTTGTTCCCATTACCTGACATGATATTATCCAGTCTGTTGACAATGTCCCCAACACCAGCTCCAGGGAAGCACACTCTATCTCTCATCTTCTTATTCCTATTACAAAAAGCACGATCAACATATCTTACCTGAGAGTCACCAACCACAAGAATGCGCTTACCTTCATTAGCAGGGGCAGTAGTACCCTTACCTTCACTGGCCACTGAAGTACATTCATCCTGGAGAACAGAGAAGCGATTTCCTACCTTCAGATCTGCACTCTTAACTTTCCTTACTCTGATGCGCCTCCCATTACTGTGAACAACTCGCCACTTGTAGCAGGTGCTGGGCTGCACCTCACTGCTGGTAGCCGTTGCTACCACCCCACCTACAGCCTCCTCACAGTGAGAGACAGACTGCACCTCACTGCTAGAAGCCTCATTCCCCACATCTCCAACCACCTCACACTCTCTCCCAGGCCCATTGAGGTGGACCTTCAGCCTCCTAATCTCCTCCTGGAGAAGCAAGACCTCCTCCTTCAACTCTCCAACCTCAGCTTTTAAAACACTGTAGAAGCAAGCCATGCTTTGTAACCGTCCACGCTAATCCCCAAGCAGCTCAGGGTCTGTGATTTTCTAACAGAGTTGTGGATGTGTGGAACAATCTTCCCATTAGAGTGATAGAGGCTAGGACCTTGGGTAGCTTTAAGAAGAGATTGGACAAATATATGAGTGGGAGGGGCTAGGTTTGATTGGTGTCATTAGGTACGGGAGTTAATTTTTGGGTTGCTTTGGGTAGAGGTCGTTTTGATAAAGACCTGCCTTGTATGGGCCAGTAGGCCTTCTGCAGTGTTGCTCCATTCTTATGTTCTTATGTCAGCTAGGCCTGTATATCTTGTAAATGTACCTGTAGTGAATAAAGACATTATATTAACTCCGACTAGGATGAAGTTATTCCCCAGACACCGGGAGGCAGGACTCAGTACTGTGTGAGCTCTCAGTGGCCCTATAAACCACAACAAGAGGACTAGTGTTTCTACAAACGGCGAGCAGTTATTGGGACTTGTGTTGCCAGTGCCCTGATAAACCCAACAAAGAAGGGTTTATCCTTCTTTGACGGGCAGTTACCCAGATAAACTCAACAAAAAAAGAAAGAACGGGCAGTTAGTAAGTGTATTTAGGTGCAGGTACACGTACAGTTACACAAATTATCGTACATATGTGTAAATTACATAGGATAACCTAAAAGAGTCAAAATGACTTATATTCATATTCATATAGTTTATTTGAACATGATAAATAGTTGTACAATGAATTATAGTAGTTGGGTGAACATGTCAAAAGCCCCTTGTATGCAGAGCATTATGGGCAGGCTTAAAATTAACTTAAATTAACAAGCAATAAAAGGTTCAGTGTTGAAAATTACAGTAAACAATTTACAATATGAAGTACAGTTGAGTATTTGAAACAATGAAATTTGAGCATATCGATACTGAAGCATTACAGTTGTATAAATTTGTCGCATTACAATGTATAACAAAAGATGATCAGTTTGCTATATGTTGTCTTGAATTTTTAAGATTTAAGTAATTGGGAGAATTATTGGTAATGTTAAATATTGAGTGTTGGTTATTTAGTCCTGGGCGAGTAAGTGGTTTTTTAGAAGAGTCTTAAATTAATTTTCAGTAAGTTTATTTAGTCACAGGTACACATAAATACAATTATCATACATAATGCAATAGGAAACCCGAAAAAGTCAGACAAACTTACTTATTTCCATTGTGGTCCTTGTTAAATAAGTTAATTGGGGTACAATTACACACAAGTACAATTTAAACAGGTTTTGTGTGGTAACGTGTTCATAAATTACCTAGTATAACCCACAGAGTGAAAGTGACATGTCCATTAGGGTCATTGCTATTAGATACAGTAAATCCCTATGGGTTTAGCACTCCCCTGTGATTATAATAATAATATTAGATACAGTAGAAATCAGTCATGAATTATTACAGTGCAAATAAAATAAACTAATAAATCAAGTGCATAAAATCAGTTACAATAAGTAAATAGTAGTTTACATGAACATTAGATAAAGTCAGCTCAGTATACTATAACAGGTACTCGAATGTTAACTATACAATAAATAATTTTCCTCCCTTAAGATGTAAACAAACAGGTTGTGAGGTTTTTAAACCTCTAAGAAAACAACGTATCTTTTTAAGCACATATTTGACTTTAAATTTTGTCAAATACGTAATGCAAAACTAATATTCTGTGTTGAAGGCTGATCTTCAGCAAAACTTGGGACAATTTATTTTTTTATGTTATGAACAACACAAAATAAATTATTTCTTGTGCAAATTATTATTTGAACGTGGCACAGTCCACTTAATACTGGCCATCTTGAACCATAGTTTATTGCCAAAATATGCAGAGGAGCAACATTTAATTACCATCTTGCACACAAGGTTTAAACATATAGTTGATATCAGTTACCCTGTAATTTACTGGCTATTAATGGCAACAGTACTTTATATTCCAGAATATACACTAGTTACAATCATAGGGTAATAGTGTATTTCTTAAAAGTATAAGCCTTTAGTTATGCATAGCACTTAGACTTAGCATTTTACACATAGCTGGTGATATAATAAGATTTTGTTCGGATTTTTAACCCCAGAGGGTTAACCACCCAAAATAACCCAAGAAAATCAGTGGGTCATCAAGACCTGTCTTTCTTATTTCCATTGTCCCCCAAGATGCAACTCACACCAGTCGACTAATACCCAGGTACCTACTTGCTTGGTAGGTATGCCCAACGTTTCCACCTGGCCGAAGATTAAACTACAGACACTCGGTGTGTGTTTAGTGCCTTTTCATGAGTAACATTTTTAAAAAACGTGCTATACCTTTAGGTTAAACACTTAAGTGTAACTAAAGCCTAACTCAGTGCATCTGATGGAAAAATCAGATTGTCTTTAAATAAATGTTGCCACTACCTTCTTTGTTTCTATGCTATGATGTCACAAGCAACTTCACTTCTGCTGTTCTCTAATTACAGCTGTAGCAAGAGTGTTGCTTGTTAATTCACTATCATTATACAGTATTACCATAATGTTAAGCAATATTGACAAGTAGGTGAGTAAGACACCACTGCAGTATTCCTCAATTCTTATGATCTTTCTTCCATGAGTGTCCTGCTTCCTGTGATGCCATCTTAAACTCTTGCACCTCACTTCTGGTTCTGGTATAAAAGGCTCCATTCTTATGCCTAAGCCTCACATTGATTGAGGAGCTGAACACTTTCTAGGGCTGAATAACAAAAAGGCAGCAAAATACCATGACTGGAACAATACACAAATAAATTAGACACATGTGCAACTCTTGGGTATCTTTATTGAGGAAACGTTTAGCCACACAGTGGCTTCATCAGTCCACACAAAGGAGAAACTTGAAGAACAGGAGGAGAATGAGGTAATCAGTCCCTGAACCTTGAGTCGATGTGATCAGTCCATCAAGATTGATGGACTGACCACATCGACTCAAGGTTGAGGGACACATGTGTCTAATTTATCAACATGTCGGTTCTCTGAACCATTCATCTACAATACGCAAATAACCCGCACATAGGAGAGGGGAGCTTAAGATGACATTTCAGTCCAACTTGGACCATTAGTCCAAGTCAGACCAAAACATCATTGTAAGCTCCCCTCTCCAGTGTGCAAGGCTGAATGATTGACCACCTCAAAATTACTACTGTACTTCAAGACTGAGGGATTGATCACCTCATTTACCTTGCCATTGCTTTTGTTGTCTCCAGTATTTAAGTCACCTTCATATTCAACTGAAGAAGCCTGCTGAGCAGGTTGATAGGTTTTGACAATAAAAATGCCCAATTCTTGTACACATCTTTCTCATCTATCTATTAATTCACTGTACCAGTTCAGTAGTCACACACTAAAAATATAAACATAGCTATAGAAATGATAGCCAGTGCAAAAGTAAAGATACAGTATTTTTTAAATACATTTTTATCATTGCTTGTTTTCAGTTCATTTTTTTTTTTTTGATCTCCAGTACTATCATTTATCACCTAGTTAATAAGCACAAGAATTACAATAAATAGTAAAGATTTTAGTAATAATAGGTGCTCTATTATATTTGGTAAAAAATAAATATGATAATTTTTCTCTTTCAAACAAATTTTCCAACCCAGTAAATGATGGATGCTACAGACACAGAAGAATTTTCTGATGCTGACAGTGCAGGGGGAGGAGATGTCCGAAATCGTTCCCTAAGTATGTCAGAGAGTCACTGTTCAGATTTTTCTGATGCAGATAATACAGACTCCCGAGATGTAAGTGACTCACAGTCTACTCCTCTTGGCAGTGATCCTCTTGCCCAACTTTTGGCAACTCCAGAACATGCAGGTATTATATAAATACAGTATGATAGTAAAGTATATTAATAAGGTAGTAATACTTTACATTGTAATAAAACAGGAGCTTTCAAAGAATTCAACAATAATTTTATGACTAATTAATTATACATTAATACACGTGGCTTTTCATTATACTGCATTGTATTGTGTGTTTGATTTCTATCTTAATTTAGGCAGAGATAGTACAACACCTGGAAGAGATACTTGTACACCAGGTCAAGATAGCACCCCTCCAGGTAAGTGTCACATAGTGGTACTGGAAGTTTATTTGTAAAGTATCATCAAATGCTTGTTTGTAACCTCCCTGATTATTATTTATTAATGAATGTACCATAATGCCATAAAATACTCAAGAGCACAGGGGTGGCACAAAATGAACTGAACATCGGTAGGTTATTTGCATGTATCCCTTCCTTAGCAACATTAAGGAAAAGCAAATAGATTTCAAATTATGCAAAATGTTAATGGCAACAAAAATCCATTCAGTATCTTGGGAATTTTTGTGATATGGCTGCACATACTACGTACTAGTCTAGTCACTGTCATGACCACATCCTACCAAAGTACACTGTGTCTTCATCATGGTTGCCTGGTGGTGATGTGACTTCCTTCATACCCTTCTCTGTAAAAAATAACTAAGCTTTCTTAATATATAGACCATTTGCACATTTTACTTTGCATTCGATATCTAAAAGACTGATGAGTGCAAATGCTAACTAGCCCTGACCTAAAGCTTTTTTTAGAGCTGTAATAGAGCACAGGCACAATATGCAAATAAGAGAGAAATACATTACTGTGTTACACTAGGAATACATACTGGAGGTTTAGTTCTCCATCGTAGGAACCTTTTTTTTACCATGATACAATACTTATTATTAGTTTTTGTGCAAGCTGTTGCAAGTGAATTACCTTAGTGAACTGCAAATGGTAATAGCAGTGAATTCACTAATTGCTTACCTAGACAGCAAGTAAAAGGAAAACAGTATTAGCCAATAAATCTGGTACATTTAGTATTAACTTAATAACTACAATTTGTGATGTAATTCCAAGTTTGTTGCAAATTTTTGACTATAATAACATGTTGAACTGTTATTTTTGCTAGTGATTGGAGGTTATACTAGTACTGATTCACCATGGCTTCCTATGTAACAATAATAGGGCTAATTATTATACCCTACTTTATGTTGATGTTATGACTAATTTTTTTAAGGCAAAGATTGGACACCAGGGAGGGAAACAGATGTTGATGTTGAGGAGAGTGGAGATATTTTGCTTCCAAAACCAGCCACACCACAACCTGGTTACAATAAAACTGACCGCAAGAAAGAAGGCAAAAGCAAACGGGAGCAAGAAGAAGAGGAAAGAGAACGAATGCAGTCAGTAACAAATTATAAGTTCTCTGTTAACTATATTTCACTTCTGTTTTGAAAGGTTGAGAGAATGTCTTTATGTCTTTAAAGTGGTCCTGACAATAATGGTTGTAAAATTGTGAAAATATGTATAATAGTTTATTTAGCTATACATGTACGTATTACTGGTTGACCATGTTTACTATATTTCTGAGTGATTTTTTAAGATAATTATACTTTAATATCTTTAATTTCAAAAAATATCATAAATTATATAAGACCTTAATATGTGATATGCCCTGTTCATGTTTGTGATACGTACATCCATTCCTTGGTTTGGATTTATAGTGTTTATGCACATCATACTACATATATATAATTTTTTTTTTTTTGACGAGTCGGCCGTCTCCCACCGAAGCAGTGACCTAAAAAGAAAGAAAATTTCCAAAAAGAAAATACTTTCATCATCATTCAACACATTCACCTTACTCACACATAATCACTGTTTTTGCAGAGGTGCTCAGAATACAACAGTTTAGAAGCATATACGTATAAAGATACACAACATATCCCTCCAAACTGCCAATATCCCAAACACCTCCTTTAAAGTGCAGGCAATGTACTTCCCATTTCCAGTACTCAAGTCCAGCTATATAAAAATAACCAGTTTCCCTGAATTCCTTCACTAAATATTACCCTGCTCGCACTCCAACAGCTCGTCAGGTCCCAAATATTATTCGTTTCCATTCACTCCTATCTAACAACCTCACGCATGCTTGCTGGAAGTCCAAGCCCCTCGCCCACAAAACCTCCTTTACCCTCTCCCTCCAACCTTTTCGAGGACGACCCCTACCCCGCCATCCTTCCCCTACAGATTTATATGCTCTCCATGTCATTCTACTTCAATTCATTCTCTCTAAATTACCAAAGCACCTCAACAACCCCTCTTCAGCCCTCTAATACTTTTATTAACTCCACACCTCCTAATTTCCACACTCCAAATTCTCTGCATAATATTTACACCACACATTTCCCTTAGACAGGACATCTCCACTGCCTCCAACCGCCTCCTCGCTGCAGCATTTACAACCCAAGCTTCACACCTATATAAGAGTGTTGGTACCACTATACTTTCATACATTCCCTTCTTTTCCTCCATAGATAATGTTTTTTTGTCTCCACATATACCTCAATGCACCTCTCACCTTTTTTCCTTCATCAATTCTATGATTAACCTCATCCTTCATACATCCATCCGCTGACACATCAACTCCCAAATATCTGAAAACATTCACTTCTACCATACTACCGGTCTCCAATTTGATATCCAATTTTTCTTTATCTAAATCATTTGATACCCTCATCACCTTACTCTTTTCTATGTTCACTTTCAACTTTCTACCTTTACACACACTCCCAAACTCATCCACTAACCTTTGCAATTTTTCTTTAGAATCTCCCATAAGCATAGTATCATCAGCAAAAATTAACTGTGTCAATTCCCATTTTTTATTTGATTCCCTATAATTTAATAAGAACATAACATAACATAAGAAAGAAGGAACACTGCAACAGGCCTACTGACCCATGCGAAGAAGGTCCATGCCACCCACGGCCTAGAATAATGACCCATAGTCAGGTCACTTCCACTTAAGAAAGGAGCACGGCACCAGACCTGGTAGCCCAAGCTAGTCAGATCCAACTCACACCCACCCACACCCACTCATGTATTTATCCAACCTATTTTTAAAACTACACAAGGTCTTAGCTTCTTTGACTGTACTCGGGAGTTTGTTCCACTCATACACAACTCCCACCCCTCTCCCCAACACCCTAGCATTTACTTCTTTTACAGCCCCATCAATAAATATATTAAACATCCATGGTGACATTACACATCCCTGTCTAAAACCTACTTTTACCGGGAAGTAATCTCCCTCTCTTCTACACACCCTAACCTGAGGCTCACTATCCTCATAAAAATTCTTTACAGCATTTAGTAACTTACCACCTATTCCATATACTTGCAACATCTGCCATATTGCTCCCCTATCCACTCTATCATATGCCTTTTCTAAATCCATAAATGCAATGAAAACTTCCCTACCTTTATCGAAATACTGTTCACATATATGCTTCAGTATAAACACTTGATCTACACATTCCCTACCCACTCTAAAACCCTCTTGCTTATCTGAAATGCTACATTCTGTCTTACCTTTTATTCTTTCAGTAATAACCCACCTTTTAAAATATTCCTGGTTCCCCCAAAAAAAAAACTAATTCCTCAAAATTTTTCAATCTTTTTTGGGCCCCCATTTCCCCCTTTATAAAAAGGGAAATTATAATGCTCTCTCCCAATCACGGGTACCTTTCCCCCTTTCATACTTTTTTTAAACAAAAAACCAACCACAAAAACCCAATTTATATCCCCCCCTCCCTTTTTAACATTTCTGTCATGTTCCCGTCAGTTCCAGTGTTTAAAAAACCCCCTTTCATTCTTCATAATGCCTCTGCCCCCCCCCACACTCACATCCTGCTCTTCCTCACCCCTTTAAAAAAATCCCTTTCCCGGCCAATCCCAATAAAAATTCCCAAACCCTCCCTTTCTTCATCGACTTTTAAAATTGTTCCTAAAAAAATTTTCCCCCCTTCTCCCCCAATCTAAAAAACCCTACTCTGTTTTTAACTGAAAAATTTCATTTGCCCCCTAGGCTTTCTTAACTTTTTTTAACTCCAAAAAATTTTTTTTACTTTCATTAAATTCCGCCCGTGCCTCCCCCAATCTATCATCTTGCTCTCTTTTTTGAAACTCTCCTCACCACTCCCTTCACCTTTTCTTTTCCCTCCCCATTTACTTGCTCTTCTTAAAACACTTCGGGTTTGAAAAAAACCTCTCTAAGAATCTTTTTGTCTTTTATCACACCCTTTACCTCTCTTTCCCACCAGTACCCCCTTTTTTCCCCTTTCCTTTTTCCGCACCCACCCTCCTATAACCACAAATTCGGCCCCCACATTCAAATTTACTGCATTTCTAAAACTATTAAAACCCCTTTTAAAAAAACCCCCCCCAAAACTCAATTTGCACTACCCCTGCCTTTCTGCCCATAGTTTTCTTATATTTTTCACCTGAACTTCTCCCCCCCCTTTGTTTATATACTTGCCCCCTTTTCTCTTATGGGGTTGTTGACATTTTTCCCCCTTTTCCCAATTTTACCCCTTAATCCCAAAAAAGTAGCTACAACTAAAAATGATCCGATATACAGTTGCCCCTCTATAAACATGTAAAATCCCCGGACCTAACCATTTAACCTTTTAAACCACCAAAAATTAAATTTAAAAAAACTACTTTCCCTTATGGGTTAACATACCTTGTATTTTTATTTTTTCCCCTTTTTCATAAAATTTGTTTTACTTTTTACCAAACCTCTTTTTTACCCCATGTCAATTAAAGATTCCCCAAATTTTTCCCTTTTCCCCTGGCACCCCAAAAAAAACCCCTACTCCCCCCACAACCCTTTTTACCCACTTTTTGCATTGAAATTTCCCCCAAACCCCAAGTTTCTCTCAAAACTTGGGTTCCCAAAAATCGCCAAAGCATTCACTCAGGGATTTTCCCAAAAACTCTCTCTCTCTCTCTCTTCCCCTCCCTTTTATGTTCTCTCTTCTCCGGGGATATACACTTTCTATAACCTACTTTTCACATCCAACCTTTATTTTAAATCCACCCCTAATCCCTTTAATTACCCTTTTCCCCCCATAGTTATCCTTCAACATGGGTTTTACTTTCCCCCTTTTTAGCTCCCTTTCTCTTTTTTATAAAACCCCCGACCTAATCCCATTTTTTTTTTCCTCCACTGAAACTCCCCCCACCCCCCCTTAGCTTTTTTTTTCCCTTAAAAGCCAGAACCCCTCCAGTTCTTCTCATTATAACATCCAAATCATCTCTTTCCCTTTTCATTTCCCCAAAAAATCCACGCACATTCAGACTTCCCACTTGACAATTTTCTTCTTTTTCCTTTTTTTTAATCATTGGAAACAAAAACACATATGCAGTATAATGTGGAAACCTTTTTTTGACAATGTTTCCAAACCCCCACAGTGGGGTTTTTCAAGTCCCCACACAGATCTGTGTTGGGCTTTTAAAAAAACCCATGTTGGGTGAAACGTTGTCAATTAAAAGGGTCACCTTTTTACTGCATATTTTTTTATGTTTCCCCTGTGTCGGTAATTTTAAAAACCATTTATTCCCTTTGTAAACATTACCCCGGAAAAAAAAAAAAGGGGGTTTCTCCCATTGTTTGCAGCATATTAATTAATTTTCAGCACTTTGTGTTTTTAAAAAAAATTTTTTTGGGTGGCTAAATCAGACTAAATGGGTATAGATAGGGTATAATTTTTATAATATCCAAAATTTTTATATCATGTAATATAGTAAATCAAGTTAGATACATAGGAAAGAGGGAAATTTTTTCCCCTTAAAAATAGGCTTTAAAAAGGATTTTGTGGGTTGGGCACCGTGGTTTTTTAAAATATTTATAGATGGGGGGTTATAAGAAAGTAAAACGAGGGTCTTGAACAAGGCGTTTGGGGTTAAAAGATAAAAAATTTACAATAAAGTGGGGGTTGTCACAGTTTCTCTTTTCTGTTTACACTGTGTCTTTGGGAGATTCGAAGAGAAGTTGCAGAGATTGGTGGATGGGAATTTTGGGAGGGTGTGCAAAAAAAAAGAAAATTAAAAGTGAATACAGGGAAAAGTAAGGTTATGGGAAAAAAAAATATTTGGTGATGAAAGAATTTGGAAAATCAGATTGGGGGAGAGGTTTTGGAGGAGGTGAAAGTATTCAGATATTTGGGAGTGGAAAGTGTCAGCGGATGGGTTTTATGAAAGATGAGGTGAATCATAGAATTGATGAGGGAAAAGGGTGAGTGGTGCACTTAGGAGTCGTGGAGACAAAGAACTTTGTCCTTGGAGGGAAAGAGGGGAATGTATGAGAGTATAGTTTTACCAACCTTATATGGTGTGAAGAACTGGGTGATGAATGTTGCAGCGAGGAGAAGGGGAGGCAGTGGAGATGTCATGTCTGAGGGCAATTTTGTGGTTTTGAATATAATGCAGAGAATTCGTATTTGGAAGTTAGGAGGAGGTGCGGGATTACCAAAACTGTTGTCCCGAGGGCTGAGGAAGGGTTGTTGAGGTGGTTCGGACATGTAGAGGAAATGGAGCGAAACAGAATGACTTCAAAAGTGTATCAGTCTGTAGTGGAAGGAAGGCGGGTAGGGGGTCGCCTAGGAAAGGTTGGAGGGAGGGGTAAAGGAGGTTTTGTGTGCGAGGGGCTTGGACTTCCAGCAGGCTGCGTGAGCGTGTTTGATAGGATGAATGGAGACAATGGTTTTTTATACTTGACGTGCTGTTGGAGTGTGAGCAAAGTAACATTTATGAAGGGGTTCAGGAAACCGGGAGGCCGGACTTGAGTTCCCGGAGATGGGAAGTACAGTGCCTGCACTCTGAAGGAGGGGTGTTAATGTTTGCAGTTTAAAAACTGTAGTGTAAAGCACCCTTCTGGCAAGACAG